ATTATAAAAAGAAAAGCTGCAGACCTTTGTTACAGAACCTACCCCCTTGCCCAGCATATGTTGTCCTTTGCCTGTTGGAGCACAAAACCCCTATATTCCTTGTTAGTTAAGAAGTACTTAGACATATAGATCACCTCCCCGACATATCTACAACATAAATTAGTAAAAAAAAAAACTTGAACAATGTGTTGCAGTATAGCACATCTAGAAAGTATGCTTAAGAATTGCCATGACAAGTGACCTGATAATCATGCCAAGTAGGAGAAAAGAATGTTCTACCAGAAAGCAGAAGCAGAAGTCTTAATTTGGGAACAGAACCAATGGTCGCTTAGGTAGTGACAGATCTAGCCATTTCCTATAACCAGGCAAAGTTCCTAGCTGTGGTACTGAGACATCAACACAGCCACAAGACTTTCAACCTATAATCTGTCCTCCCTGCAAGATGTGCTGGGGCAACGGTGGCACAGACTTGTGGGAGTGGCCAACCCATGTCTGGCCCAACTTGTGGCAATGCCATGAGAAGGAGCCCAAGCCTGACATTGCCTGGATGGCCAGGAACCAGAGCCAGGAATCCCCAGGGACCCAGGATAGAACCAAACACGACTGTAGAAAGAAAAGTCAATGAAATGATTCAGTTTGTTTGTTTTTTCGAGACAGGGTTTCTCTGTGGCTTTGGAGGCCATCCTGGAACTAGTTCTCGTAGACCAGGTTGGTCTCGAACTCTCACAGAGATCCGCCTGCCTCTGCCTCCCGAGTGCTGGGATTAAATGCATGAGTGTACAGTACACTCTGCTGTACTCACAGACTGGTGCCTAGACCAACTGTCATCAGAGGGGCGTCATCCAGCAACCGACGGGAGCAGATGGAGACTCCCACAGCCAAAGATTAGGCAGAGCCAAGGGAACCACACAGAAGAGGGAGAGGAATGGCTGTGGGAGCCAGAGAGGGTCAGAGACAGCATGACAACAGGCCCCAGAATCAACCAAGCAGGGCTCAGAGAGGCTCACGGAAACGGAAGTGACAAACACAGATCTTACATGGGTCTGAGCTAGGTCCTCTGGATATACCTATGGTTATGTGGCTTGTTGTTCCTGTGAGACTCCCAAAATTGGGAGTGGGAGTCGTCGCTGATTCTTCTGCCTGTGCTTGGGACCCTTATTCCTCCTTCTGGGTTGCTACACCCAGTCATGAGAGGAGGGTTTGTACCCAGCCTCATTGTATCTTGTTAGGCCATGCTTGGTAGCTATCCCTAGGAGGAGCGTTCTGTTTTTCTGGCGGTGGGGGGGGGGGGGTATGGCAGGTGTAGGGAGAGGGACTGGGAGGGTGGAGAGAGGGGGAAAAATATAGGGGAGAAAAATGATTTAAAACACCACTAAAAGGTAGCTACATTGAATTTTGAAAGTCTGTGTTCTATTATAACATAGGCTAAAGTTTCAGATGAAACTCACAAAGATAAAATAGAGTAGATCACTAATAACTAAATTTGTTCAAGTGTCCTAGCAACCAACAGAAACAACACTAATGACAATAACAGCAATATAGGAAACTCAACTTGCAGTTAGAGCACTTCACTACAAGCAAGACAAACATTTTCCTGAACTCTGAATTCAGACCTTCCCACATACATACATACATACATACATATGATAACAGGGAGATTCCTGTAACATTCACATACTTCCCACTTATAAACACTGTATTCCTTCATTTTTTTTAAAATGCCTTAATTAAAAATGAAATAAATGCTAGGACTTTATCTTTCCTATTTTCTGGATATCTTGATAATTACAAAAAAAAACAAAAAAAAAAAAAACAAAACCAAGAAAACCCAAGTCAATTTATTAGTACCCCAACTGCTAAGCGGGGCATGCATTGCTGGCAGGGTAGATGGTGTATAGGAAACATTAAGGGAAATACAAAATAAGACGTGGCTGTGAGGTCCTTTGAAGCTATTTTAAAAAGTAAAATGTTATGTTAAGACTCATGTGGTGTATCTCTGTACATGTGTAATTATTATCCCGCTGATTTATTGCACACATGTCAAAGGGTGCCTGGGTATTTGTACAAGTTAAAACAAGCCAACCAAAGAGCCAAGCCACATAGCCACAAACCCAGACAGCTTGCCTCCCGGCTCTCACCACACGCTCCATCCAACCACCTCCCAAGCACAAAGACAGGAACTATTCTGCCAAGTCAGCTGTCACCATACTGTGCTCCAGAGGAACGACCAGTGGCAGCTATCATTGATACTGGATTGCAGATGTGTGGCTAGAGCCAGCTGGCAACACAGATATTCCAGGGAAGCCAGCGAGACTCTTCCCATTCTCTCGGGTTCTGGCAAGCTATTCGGAATGAGTTAGAAATCAAACCACAAGCAACTGTCCCATGTCACCTCTTCTGAGAGTGAACTCCACATCCCTCAGATGCGTTTTAACTCTCATCTTTCAACGCAGGGCATAATGAGATGGGACATATCTCATCCAATAACCTCTCTCCCACTAAGTAACCACTTGTGAGATAGGGAGAGTGTGGTTTTCCTGGTTGAGTTAAAGAGAGGAGAAAACACTCCAGTGTATTCTACCCTGCTGCAATCCCTCCCTGTATGATCTAAAGATTAGAGCTAATTTCAACTAAATTGCTTTCTTCAAGAGGTGGACATCACTGTCCATCTTGTTCCTCTATATCTATACACAGCATTCTTAATAGAAGGAAAAAGGCAAAAGGAAATTCCTTAGATGTTTCAGCAGATAGACTTATTAATGTGACACACTCAACATCAAAGCAGGGGTGTAGAAATGCCATCCCATTGTCCTCACAGGGAGAGTGACTTCATTTCTCCTTCAAAGCCCTATCACTCCGCTGGGTCCTTTAATTATTGAACATGGGACAGAAGCTGTCCACATAATGTCACCTCTATCTTTTTCATGAAATATATATGGGTCTAATTTAAACCCTGTTAATTTGAAAGAAGGATGGGTTGGCAGACTGCCGTATAAGACAACAAAAGGAGAGATCTTTCTCAACTGGCTTTTTTCACTCTTGCCTTCTGGAGAGGAACTGTGGGGAAAACTGGGTACCTGTCTGGGCAAGCAGGCTGAATTCCTCCCACCCAACTCACGTCATCTTAATTACAATAACCTTAACTACAGATATGGAAAGGTACTTTGTAAAGCAACAGTTGTGCTTTTGAACAGGAGTCAGCAAATTACCTGGCCTGTGCTCAATACGAAAGCAAGGAGCCCTGACTTGACAGTCCATGTCTGCTCAGGGGACCTGCTTCACAAAGATCACACTGCGAGTGTCAGTGGTTAATCTCCACGAAAGACGAGACAGCCCTGTGGGCCACCCAAGCTGCACAACTCTGCCATGAGAGCAAAAAAATCAGACACGGAGAATAATAGATGCAGTGGGTTCTAACGGTATTTTATAAAGTAGAGCAAAAGGCCATATTGGGATCCAAGCAATCCTGTTCTAGATTGACAACTTCTAAAGGGCAGAAATGTCCGATACAGCAGGCATTAGCCACATGGGCATTACTAAATGTGTAAAGTTACTAAAGAGCTACATCTGAAATCTTGCTAAACTAGTAAATTTAAATAGCCTCGTGTGGCTAATGGCTCAGTACTGAACAGCAGAGTTCTAGACACGCTATACTAATGCCCTGTCAAATGAGATGGAAGTTATCTTCCAATTTATCCCATAAAATCCATGAATCAAAACAGAAAATGCCCATGCAACTCTGACTGAGGGCACAGACCTACTCAGCAACCCAACTGACTCCTAAGGCAAATATGCCTCCTCCTTACCCACCTTCAAGTCTACACATACACAGACAGGATGCAAAGAGCCCCAGAGAACACACATGCCAATTATGTTGCCTTCTCGCAGAGTAACGCACATCAATATACAAATCAGCCTGGCTTAACACCCTCTTTGCTATATTTCCTACTGCTTTTGACAGTTGTTTTAGTTATACAACTAGTGTGTGTGTGTGTGTGTGTGTGTGTGTGAGAGTGTGTGTGTGTATGTGTGTGTGTATGTGTGTGTGTGTGAGTGTGTGTGTGCGTGTGTGTGTGTGCGCGCGCGTGTGTGTGTGCGTGTGTGTGTGCTGCATTTCTTACAACACAGAATGGTGTAATCCAACCACAAGAAGCAAGAAAAGAGGATAGTAACACATGGAGTGGGTTTTTTCCAGGGGGAGAATGCTTTTTGTTGTTCCTCTAAGTGTGAAACAGAAATAACAGCAATATTTCCTTTAAGAAACATACAATGCTACCTTTCTTCACTGGAAAATTAGTAAGAAATCACCTTTACAGATGATGTCATATAAGGCATAGGCTAATCTAACCATTTTATGATTTTTGGGTGGGGCGGTTTTTGAGACAGGGTTTCTCTGACTTTGGAGACTGTCTTGGAACTAGCTCTTGTAGACCAGGCTAGTCTCAAACTCACAGAGATCTGCCTGCCTCTGCCTCCCGAGTGCTGGGATTAAAGGCGTGCACCGCCGCCACCACCATCCAACCCATTTTATGATTTTGATGAAATGTAATCATTCCAGATCCAGTTCCTTATAATTCTCAACTCCAAAAACAAACAAACAAATAAATAAATAGAAAAATAAATAAGTAAATAGCTCTAAACAATGGAAAATAGGATAGAAAACTTCTAAGTATAAGCAAACTCCTTGGGTATATAACAAGACACAAATCAGCAGGAGACAATGAACCCTGTTTTCATCCTTATTTACCCATTTCAGTGTGAGACTCTCTTCCCTGCAGAAAGAGTCACATGTTTGGTCTGGTGGAATTGCTGCAACCTTAGACCAGGTGGGAGTCCCAAAGCTATGATACATGCAACAGGTACCATGTTTGAAAAAAAATGTGAAACATCTGGCCACAACAGTTTTGGGAAGGGGGTTCTCTACAGAAAGCTCCTCCTCAGGAAAAACACTGTATATGGCGAAGGGTCCCTGTTCTCCAGAGCCCTGGACAGTACCTTACCTCTGTCTGAAGGATGGCAGCCCTCTGTTCTTTGGCAGTAAGCGACTCTTTAAGCACTTCAATGTGTTGCTTGCAATCTGAATTTTGATTGCTAAGGGTTTCAAGCTTTGTTTGTAAGGCAAGAAGTTCTGACTCCTTCTTGGAAAGTTCCTGCTTCAACTGGTCGATCTGCAAAACAAGACAATTGCAAAATCTGAGAAAAGTCTATTCAAACAGTTTGCACTTGACAACAACTCATTTCTCTCTGTTTTCAATAGAGCTGGAAATGGATCCAGCAGGAAATGCCATGAATCTGCTGAGAGACATGGCCCTGGTTTGGAAGAAGCCCTACCGAGACAAGTAAGTAGGTGGGCACTTTCCAACCTCACTGAGACCCTGGATCTCCAATGCCATGAAAGCACGGCCAAAAACCTACTTGTTTCTGAAACCCTTAAGTCTACTATCAACATGCAAACCATGGCAGGGGTGGGGGGGACACAGTCATTTAACCCAAGATACAAGTTCACAGTAGAGACAATGATGCAAGTATACCATTCGAGACAATCTTCAAACAGAAAATAATTCAAGGAATTCAGGCTTTTATTTTATTTCTGTTAAACATAAAGAAGACAAAAGAGCATAAAATATATACAAGGCATAAGAAAAAAGCAATGCAAGAAGCACTCATCATTCAAGTCACCAAAAAAACAAAAATAATATAATTAGAATCAATCTTATCAATACCATCCCACATCTGTCTCTTCCTAGCCCTCTTAGCTAGCTACCTCCTAGCTACCATTAACTTTGGCATCCATACAGAATTATTTTTCATATTTTAAAATTTTGTGTTATATATGCCTCAAGTGTTAATGCTCTAGAGATTAAAAGTCCGTGTAAACCCATGCACACAGAATTCAATAATTTCTTTACTTAGGAAGAACATTCTACTGCAAGAGTTCACGCCTCAACTTACGTATCAGCTTTGCTACTGACCTGGTGTTTGTCCTGGATTTTCAATCTTTACAACAGTGCTACTCTGAAAATATATAAGACACGCCCATATAACCATCATCTTCTCAAGCTTCCTTCCAGATGTGAAGTTGCTGGACCATGTAGCATGTACAGCCATCTTAGTCGCTGTCCTACCGCTTTTGAAGAGACACCATGACCGTGGTAGCAATTATAAAGGAAGGTATTCTGTAAGCAAATGCTTACAGTTTCAGAGCTCCACTGTCCTCACGGTGGGGAGCACAGTGGCATGCAGACAGATATGGAGCTGGAGAAGGAACTAACTGAGAGTCCTACGTTTGGAGGTGCAGGCAGCAGGAAAAGAGTGAAACTGGGCTTGGCTTGGGCCTTTGAAGCCTGAAAACCCACCCCCAGTGACACACATCCTCCAGCAAGGCCATACCTCCTAAACCATCTCAAGTAGTGCAACTCAGTGACAGCTAAGCATTCAAATATATTGGCCTATGGGGACCATTCCTATTCAAACTACCACATTATACTCCCTGACCCTCACAAGGATAGCCATAATGTAATGTATAGAATAATGCAATGTAGATCATAATGTAAATGCATTTAGTCCAACATCAAAAGTCCCTAGAGTATATCACAGTCTTAACACTGTATAGAAGTCAGTTCAAAGACTTGCTGAGAATCATAGCAGTCTCATTAACTGTAATCCCCTGGAAAATCAAAACCAAAAAGACTACCATATACTTCCAACACACAATGGCACTTAATATACATTACCATTCCAAAAGGAAGGAAAAGGAGCATAGGAAAGAAATATTGTACTAAAGCAAGACCAAAACCAGCAGGGAAAACTCCAAACTCTGCATCTCCATGTCTAATGCCAAAGTGCTCTTCAGATCTCCAATTCCTTTCAGCTGTGTTGACTGCAACACGTTTCTTTCTCTTGGACTGGTTCCATTCCCTGTTAGCAGCTCTCCTCAGCAGGTAACCTCCCACTTTGGCATCTCCAAACATCTTGGAGTCTCCAATACAATCCAGGCTTCACCTTCACAGCTTCACACAATGTTCTCTCTGAGCCTGCATTCAGGGGCACCTCTGATACAGGTGGGGCCTCCACAGCTTTCCTTTGCTGAGAAGGAAGATTCTACAACCCCTTTCTTGTGTCCTTCACTCTGAAGTCAAAACCTTATGGCTGCCTAGATCTGCTTGCCAGGGCTGAGACATGGATCCCTTGTGCAATTATGTCTGCATCAGCCCTCTGTTGTTGATGGTTTCTTCGCTGCTTAAGCATCTCTTTAACTCCTTTTCACAAGTTGGAAGCTCAGCTGGGTGGAGTCTTGTCCTGACATCACCACTCCCTTTATTCTACTGAGCATCTTTAAACATTTTATTGACCTGAGTAGTGGACTTAGCTTCATTTTGCTTCCTGGAGCTCCTTTTCATTATAGATCTACATAACAGAGACCACTAATAACCATGCAACAGAATCAATGCCAGACTGTCTTGAAATTTCCTCTTCCAACACCATTAATCCAAAACTCTTCAATTTAGCCTCTGGTGGACATTTTTGGACAAGAGAAGAAAGCAGCCACCTTCTTCCCTAAAATATCACAATAACGGTCTCCAGGCCACTTTCTAACATTCCTCCTCTGAGTTGGGCCCCCACTGTTCAAACTGCCCTCAGCATTGTCTTCCATGTACCTATGTGGGTGGCCCATTATCCCCTGCTTAAAGTGCCCAACTACTTTTCTAATCCAAAGTCCCCCAAATCTTCCATTACACTTCCAATAAACAGTATGGTCAGGCCTATCACAATACCGCACTCCTGATACCAACTTCTGCCTTAGTCACTGCTATATTGCTGCAAAGAGACACCATAACCAGGGCAACTCTTTTTTTTTTTGTTGTTGTTCATTTGATTTTGAGACAAGGTTTCTCTGTGTTGCTTCGGAGCCTGTCCTGGAACTCGCTTTGTAGACCAGGCTGGCCTCTAACTCACAGAGATCTGCCTGCCTCTGCCTACCGAGTGCTGGAATTAAAGGCATATGCCACCAACACCCAGCTCCAAGGCAATCTTTTATAAGAAAGCATTTAACTGGGTCTTGCTTATAGTCTAGCCCATGATCATCATGACAGGGAACATGACAACATACAGGCAACTACGGTGCTGGATAAGGAGCTGAGAGTTCTACATTCTGCAGACAGCAGGAAGACAGTGACACTGGGCATGACTGGAGCTTTCGAACCCTCAAATCCCACCCCCAGTGACATACTTTCAAACAAGGACAAACCTCCTAATCCTTCTCAAGTCATGCCACTTGCTGGTGACAAAGCATTCAGCTGTGAGAGCCCCCAGGGCTACTCTCATTCAAAACCACCACAACATCTTAAACTAATTTTACCGGAGAAGACAAAAAAATGTTTACCAAAGCAGCTATGCTAACTTGCATGGCCATAAGCAGCTTCTCAAAAACGCCGCTATCCCACAGCTTTCCCAGCCCCCTACACTTTTGTCCACTGATAAGAGAGAGCTGAAGACAATCTTCAGAGACAACTTGAACCACCAGGCTCTTCTCTCTTCTTCACAGCTGCTACTCTTCCCACCCAGAAGTTGGGTCTATTTTCTCACCCCTGACCTCGTACTGAACAATGATTCTAAATACAGCAAAGTATCGGTGCCTCTTCCTGCCCTGACCTAGAAGACAACTCGGAGTCTCTATCTCCATTCTTAAAGCCAGCAGCATGGTATGAGTTCATCCACCTTGTGGCAATCCCCTACTGGCCGTCTCTGTCCCCTGTTGGAATCCAGCTAACGTGGCATGAAGTCAACAATCCTGTGGAAAACTCCACTGTGTGGATGTCCACACAAGCTGAGTGAAAAGGCCGCTCGGGAAGCAGGGCCTGTCTTCTTTCTGAGTCTCAAGGGGGTAAATTCTTCCATGTTCCATCATTTTAGTTTGACATCTGGCTTTCACATGTAGAAAGATAATGTTATCTACTAACAAATATAGCAATTAGATCTTGGAAGATGCACTTTTAGGTTTGACAAAGTTCTCTTTTATGACAATCATTTCAAGCATTTCTTCCAACCATTAAAGAATGTTTAATATTATCCAACATTCTACCTCCATGCCATGCTTTTCCCCCGTTAATATGTTGTAATGAGTCATATCAATGGAATTTCAACACTCTGTTTCTCGTATTTCTAGGAAAACTTCACGACATAACATCTTTCAAAATTAATGGGCTCAGCTTGCAGATAATCTTTCATCTATGTTTTGGATAGGAGTGCTGCTGTTCTTGGATTTTGGTACACACTTATCTTTCAATGTGCTTGGAGATTTTCTTTTTCTGTAAAGTTGGGTTTTTCTATTTTGATGTTCATTAGAAAACATGAACGAAAACATAGAAAGCTGGTATTTTTCCCTAATAAGAATTCCAGATTGAAACTAAATTTTCATATTAATTTGAAGGAAATATTCATAAAGCATACTTATCCCTTCTACCAGTGGTTATCTATGGCTATGCTTTCTCAAATATTTATCTCCGATGTTTCCTTCCTTGATTTCATCAGGAGCATGCCAAATTAAACCAACAAATCAGAGATCCAGCTTTGGAAACGCTGTTCTGACAAGTTCACTTCTGGGTTTTGCCCATTAATTTTTGCTCTTATTTTTAAATTTTTCCCTTCCTTGTGCCTTCTTTGGGATTATTTTGCTTGCTTTCCCTAAATTAGAAATTTATCCCACTAATTTTCAGCACTTTCACCCCCATTTCCTCCTCCCTCCCATGTGTGTGTGTGTGAGAGAGTGTGTGAGTGTGTGTGTGAGTGTATGTGTGTGAGTGTGTGTGTGTGTGTGGTATGTGTTGGGTGGTATGTACATGTGCACATGTATGTCACAGGTGTGCACATCCTGTAGACATGCATGTGAAGACCAGAGTAAGATGTCCTGTGTTCTCCATCTCCATTTCCTCCTCCCTCCCATGTCTGTGTATGTCAGTGTGTGTGTGTGTGTGTGTGTGTGTGTGTGTGTGTGTGTGGTATGTGTTGGGCGATATGTACATGTGCACATGTATGTCACAGGTGTGCACATCCTGTACACATGCACGTGGAGGCCACAGTAGGATGTCACGTGTTCTCCATCTCCATTTCCTCCTCCCTCCCATGTCTGTGTGTGTGAGTGCGTGTGTGTGTGTGTGTGTGTGTGTGT